AAATAATAAGAGAAAATAGAATAAAAATAAATAGATAAAGAAAAAATAAAAAAATAATAATAAATCTGCAAAGTATCATTAATTATAGGCCTGTCATATGTGTTTCTTAAGTCTTTCACTATCCAGGAACTTGATGACTTTGGTAACGATTTCTTCCTGATTTCCCAGGGATGCTGATATATTCTGGGGTATTCCGAGATCTTTTAATCTTCTTCCAAAATATGTTTTATAGTTAGTGATTGGTTACACTTTTGACATCTGGGGATAGAATCTTTTGTTATGAGGTGGAGGTGAGTCAGTCTAGTATGTCCGATCCTCAGCCGCGTGAGGACGACCTCTTCTCTACGACTGCTTCGTCTGGAGCTGGTCCACGGTTGCACCTCTTTCTTTATTGTTTTTAATTTGCTAGGTGCGCTGTTGTCCCACCGTCTTTGCCATTCTTGGAATATGGTTTCTCTCAGAGGTCGTGCGAGTTGTCTGGCCAATCATTAATAAATTTAATAATCCCAATAGCTGTATCTAAAAAAAATAAATAGTTTATAGCTAACATAAATAATTTATAAAGAAAGGAGGTGGTCCGGGGTGGCTGTCATAAATAGGCTAAATAGTGGCAAAACTATTTTATTAAAAGACACCGTTTCGACCCGACTTTGCAGGTCTTCATAAGGGAGGTGTATTCAGCTAGGAGTTTCACTTAGAACTCCAGCTTCACTGAACAGAACACACCTCCCTGAAGAAGACCTGCAAAGTCGGGCGTTGACTTTTAATAAAAAAGGGTTTTACCACTATTTAGGCTATTTATGACCGCCACCCCGGACCATCTCCTTCCTTTATTTTAATTTTATTCCAGCTACGCTCAACTATTAAATATCCAATAAATAATTTATTTTTCTCAGAGATATTCTAATGATCTATTTCCTATTCTCAGGTAAACTAGTATGGACGCGTAAGAGCAAGAACAGCGTTGAGAGAAAAGTGATACAAAGAAACTAATAAAAGTAAGTGCATACTCTTTTTTGTTACATTATTTTTTATTCTGTATCATATTATTTTTATGTAATGATTAACACCATTCTCTTATATAATATTTAATTTACACTTCAGATTTCAGCGACACTAATTAAATATCAATATGCTTTATTTTTTACACAAGAATCTAAGCCATCGGATACAAAAGTGGAGTGTCTTGATCATAATAAATAAGTTAGTGATTAATGAGTGTGAATATTTATTTATTTTTTTTATTATTGAAATTTACAACTGTATTAAATGATAAATACAACAAGTAAATATGAAATAAGTAACACGATATGTACAACATGAAGAGAAACTACCCATTGCTAGTACTCTAATTATAAGTAGATTGTCCCGAGGCCATCTTCTTTTCAGACGCCTCGGAGGGTTATCAGAAATAGAAGAGGTAGCAAGATTAGAAACAAGAGGGTTCGGATGGTTCAGAAGTTTATTATGGAAGGATAGGTATCTGGATTTGGCCAGATCTGAAACATATGGTACATTAAGGTCGTTATGGATGATTTTATTTGTGACAAAGTAGAGAGCATTGAGCAATTTACGAAGGATTTTGGATTTTAAGGATTAGATACGAGATCAATTTGATGGTTTAGTAAAGCCCCAAAGCTCGATCCCGTAAGTTCAGATAGGCCTTATTATATTAATATATATGAGTCTTTTGTAAATAATTGGAAGTTTAGGGATAAGTGGGATATTCTTAAAGAATACTGTACACACCAATCGGCTCAATATTTTTTAAAGCTACTTTTTTTATCGATTTTTTGATCAAATTACCTTACGATTCAAGTGGAAAGCAAATAGGTATGTACAAGTTATTAGTACTTAACTAAATAGACAAAGTTTGTCCCCCTCCAGATTGAAAACACCCCAATTCCAAGAGTTTTCTTAAATAAAATAGTTGTAGATTACGATGAGATGAAGCTATTTACGAAATTTCAGGCGGATGTTAATAATTCGATAAATAGGGTTCTGTATCACGGACGAAATAAAACTGTAACTTATTCGAGAAAAAAAATACTATGAATGAATTATCTTAAATATTTCTTCCACAGAAACCTTTGGGTTCTGTGTAGTTAATTTATATATTTTGAATTAAATATATTTCTTCCAATTAAACGTACTTCAGAATCGTAATGCAAAAAGATACGAATCGTTGCAGTGGTAACTTAATTACAGGTTTGAGGCCGTAGGAACTTCCCAACCTTTTATTATTCCTTCATAATATTCCAATTATTCATCTTCCAAATTATAGCCTCCCTAATGAATATATTAGCATAAATTAGTAAGAGATGGATATGAGTGGTTCTATACTTGGATCGGACGTCATAAATGTATTCCGTTTTAGGAAACCTGCGCATATAATAATTTTTCGTCTTCTATTCCAGGAAGCATGACATCACATATTTGGAAATGTCTGTTCTAAAAAGCATCCCAGGGAGGCAAATGACGCTAGAATGAGGGGCTTGATTGGTAATATAGAAAGGGGAAAAAATGTAGAGGATGAGGAAGAGGGAGTAAAGAATCAAATAGCAAAATGGTCGGCTACCTTCCAGAAATTTGGTCGGCAAAACAATGTGGATAATATGGAATTCGATGAGGCAGTGGGCAATTTTCTAAAATTTCTAAAAACAATCAATGAAGAATTACCCGGCCCACAGCACCCTGCCGTCAAGTTCTATAAGCTAAGACGGAAAAACAAGATTGATATGGTTGGCAAGGGTGCTGGAAAAGTGTCCAATCCACAGAGGGCCAACAAGGCAGATAGGAGTCGTCGGCAAGAACAATATCAATATGAGGTAGCCCAGTACAATTATTATAACAGAAGAAAGAAAGTGGTGCAGAATATTATGAACGCCGACGCTCCTAAGCAATGCCCTCTGAAGGTAGCCGAGATTGAAGGCCACTTCAGAAGCCTCTTTGAGAAAGAAAATCTCTGCAAACGTGCGGACTACGAGAATTGCGCCCCGACGCCAAATCTTACATCCATCGATGTCCAAGTAGTAAAAAAGGCGATCAAATCAACGTCATTGGACACATCACCGGGGCCTGACGGAGTTTTGGTCCGCACGATTAAATTCTTTGATGTTTCATATATCATAAAGACCATTGCGGAGATCATGCTGAGGGTGGCATATGTACCGGAGCCTTTACGTCAGGGGCGCACAATCTTGGTATACAAGGGTAAAGGAAATAGCAACAGCATATCATCATGGCGACCCATTACCATTTATTCAATTGTGCGCCGAATTATTGAGAAGGTTCTGGACCATGAACTGAGAAAACAGATCACCTTCAGCAAAAATCAGAGAGGCTTCATCAGAGGCCTACCGGGAGCACACGTAAGCGCCAGAATTATCGACGCAATCATAAAAGACGCCAAGAATAAAAAGAAAGATTGCGCGGTAGTGTTTTTGGATGTCATTGGCTCTTTCGACAACGTTGGTCACGAACATATAATCGGCTCACTAGAGGCAAGAGGAGTGTCACCAGACCTGAAGAACGTAATTGCGGCTCTCCTAGGTTCAAACCAAATCAAGATTGGGATCGGAGCCCACTCGACTAGCTGGATCAAGGTGCGGCGAGGAGTACCCCAAGGCGGACCCTTGTCGCCCTCGCTGTTCAACCTGGCTATAGATCATCTGTACCGCGACCTGTGTGAGCAAGAATTTGCCAACCGCTATGGATATAAATTAAGCAGCGACCAAGAATGTGTGGTCCTCACAGGCTTCGCGGATGACCAGGCTGTTACAGCGTGTGACAAGGGTGCTGCAGAGAGGATTGTTAATGGTGTGCAGAGGATCCTTGCCGAGATCGGTCTAGCAATAAATCCGCAGAAAAGCGTGGGCTTGATAGTCGAAAAAGGAGAGCTGCAACAAACAAAGCTCTCCCTAGAGAACGGAGAAGTGATAGCATCAACAAAGCCAGGTGAAACTATAAAGTATTTAGGATGTGCGTTCTCGGGAGAGCTGGTATTAAATGAGGAAATGGTGACAAAATTAAACAACAACTTGGACAAATTGGTTAGCTCTTGCCTTCTTAAGCCCGAGCAGAAGATCAACGTTGTGAACCAGTACGTGTTCCCGGGACTTACTTACCCTCTTCAGACGGCGCCCCTCACAAAGATACGTCCTGCGATATTGGAAGGAATTGATACAAATATCCGCAGGAGTGTCAAGGCCATCATCGGGCTCCCTGCTAATGCATCAACGGCGATGTTTTATGCACCGAGGAGGTTTCGTGGATTGGGACTGATCCGCTGTCAATGGGAGGCTCCTTTGCAGCATTGGTCCACTGCCCAGCGGCTGTCTAATGTGCCGGATTCCCTGTTCCAGTCCACATTTGATTATAATGCGGAAATCGCGGAATGTGCGGAAAGACTGGGAGTGGATCAGGGAAACCGAAGCGTGAGAGCTCTACGACAGTCGCTGAGAGAAAATTCTTTTGAAGAGTGGGCCAGCTGCAGGTGGCAAGGCGTTGGAGTTCGACACTTTAAAGAGACCCCGAAAGCCAATAAATACATATGCCAGAAAAAAGTGCTTTCGGGGTCGGAATGGTCCAACGCATTAAAACTAAACATCAATTACGCACCTTTACGCGGAGTCCCAGGAGCCAGTGGACAGTCGAAGGAAGTTGGGTCCCTCTGTCGTAAATGCGGCAGAGAGTCGGAAACACCAGCCCATGTGCTGGGAAAATGCCCCAACAATTCCCTCCTCATAACACGCCGGCACCATAGGGTAAAGTTCGAGGTGATGAGGCTCCTTAGAGAAAAGGAATTCACCTGCTTTGACGAGGTCTATTGCATAGACAGTGAAGGCTCTACAAGATATGCGGATATTGTCGCGTTTCCCAGAACAGGAAGGACAGCGCTAATCTTGGATCCAACTGTCCGCTTTGAGAGCAACGACCTCGATCAGGCGGGTGAAGTGGAAAGGGAAAAGAGGAATATATACGAAAAATGCATCCCTTTCCTAAAAGAGAAATTCCGCGAGACCTTCGGAGAGAGAGAGTTCACCGTGAGAGGCCTCTGGTTTGGGTCTCGCGGAACGATCCCGGAAAGAACAAGGAGCTTTCTCGAAGAACTGGGTGTTGATGTTGGGGAGCTCGCGGTATTGGCCGAAAATATTGTTTTGGACTCCCTGGGAATCATCCACTATCATATTTATACCGATTGAGGACATCTGGTAATAATTGTTTATTAAATTTTGAATTGATCCGCTGTCGTCCTGTCTTTTTGTCTGCACTCTGGGAATTGCTTATGAGAATTTGTTATGAGAGGAAAGAGGAAAAAGAGAGAAAGAAAGGAAAGATATGACATATATATGTATAAAAAAATAGAAAAATGAAATATAAAAGTAATGTCCTTGTGGATTGATAGGTATGCTGTGTACGAAGCAACCCTATGTAGTAGGGCAGCATTACTTTTAATAAAGTATTTCTCTCTAACATGTTTATTACTTTCCATGAGAATTTGAATTTGAATGAAGTTTATTGCTTCAACGAAAAAGAAAGTTATATATTTTAAAAAACAACTTCATTGGAGTTACTCATTCTGTCAACTAAAAGGCTCATATAATGATCTTGAAATCCGTGAAATGAAATGAAAAGACATACTAATCAAAATGCTTTAAAAATATTATTTTTTTTTCTTGACCCATTACAATGGACGCCGGAATTTGAGTTTCGATGTATAGTCCGTGGTACAGACCTCTTTTTATCAAATTATTAACATCTGCTTGAAAATTCATCTCTTCGTAACCTATAAATATTTTATTTACGAAAATTTTCGGGGCGATTTCAGTTTGAAGGTCGGCAAACTTTGTCTATTTAATTAGGTACTAAAAACCGCAAAATACCCATTTGCTTTCCACTTGAATTGTTGAATTTCAACACAAAGTAAAGAAAAAAGTAGTCTTGAAAAATATTGAGCTGTTTGGCGGCACTTACACACCCAAAATTAAAAAAAAAACAAGGTTATATAGGACAAACGGTCCAATATTTTGGAAAGCCACCTTTTTTATCGATTTTATGATCAGATTATCTTACTATCCAAGTTGAAAGCAAATGGGTATTTTCAAGTTCTTAGTAGCGAATTAAATAGACAAAGTTTGCCGATCTCCAAATACACAACTGCGGAACCTGTAAATTAATCACCACCTTGGATAGAAAAATTAAAACCTGAGAGAAAAATCCTCAGCAAGCCCACTTAACCTAAGCCCACCCAGAGCCCCTAAGCAAAACTTGTGCCCGAAAAAACCCTCCCCCCCCCTCTAAAACGGTCAATATTATTAAATCAATTATATTTTTTATTTATTTATTTAGACATATAATATTCTGTCACAGGGACAATAATTATATTGATAAATGAACATATTCACACTGTATATACAAAAAAAAAACAAAATTAACAAAAGTAAGATAATAACTAAATAATAATAAATAAAAACTATATACAATAACAAAAAATTAAAATAACCTAAATATAAGTAAATTAAAAACATAAAAATACAGTCATACAGCATTGAAGCAACATTCTTGAACGTGATATCCATATTAGAAATGTCAGTATGATTGTTACAATTTATCCCTCAGACGGTCAATATACTCTATATTGACTCGATAATATTGATCGTGTAAAGGCCGTGTAGTACAGTTGACTGAGCCCACTCAGTCATAAAGAGGCTAAAATGTTGTTCAGTATGGAGTTTCAGTTAAACTCAAACTCAGTTTTAACTGAAATTCCTTGCGGAATGCACCCCCCTGAAGAAGACCTCCAAAGGTAGGTCGAAACGTTGGCTTTAAATAAAATAGTTTTTCCTCTATTTTAGTCTCTTTATGACCGCCTCCCCGGACCTTCCCCTTCCTCTAAACTATACAACGGTCAACCATTAAGTTTTCAATTAAATGTTGTAACAAACAGTTGTATGATTTATAAAATGGGGGTTGGTCGACCGTTAGGCTGGCAGGGAGTACTCTACTAGTAGTTAATCATTAAATAATATTAAACTGATTACTGAGCTACTCCTTTATGTAGTGCCTCTCCTATTTTTCTCATCCAATTCATTGAAAATTGTTATTATGTTGCAATAACCTTCGTCTGCTCAGAATAAAGTAATTATTCCATTCTATTCTAAAAAGAATAATTTAAGTGCTTTGACAATACTTTCAGTTTTATTATTATAGTTATTATTTGTATATTACATTATTTTATTGCTTCTTGATGTATTATATAGTTATTACCCTCTTCAGCCTTCTAGCTTAGTATGAGCAAATGTATTCTCCATACACCATAAATGCATTTTTTTCTCTTTTAAAGTTCTCTTTGATAATTGGATGTTGAGACTCTTTCTAATTTAGGAAAGATGAGCAGTACCGTGTGGATCCTCCTTTCTCCAGCCTCTGGAATCCTGCCCAGTCAGTTCTGGAGAAAGGTATTTGAACAAAAACAGGTCCTAAAACGAGACAACGAGGAAGAGTTTGACTTTTTCCAGTTTCTTCTTTGATGCATTACAAATATTTATAGTTTTAGTTAAGTTATAAATTAATAAGCATTAGTACTGTCTTCTGAAACAGTTATTAATATTACACCAACAAATATTGAGTTATAATAAAACTAGATACTTTCTTTCTGTAGATCTTTTAAAAATATTTATATCACTAGTTAAATTAAAAATTAATAGCTATGAGTGCTGTCTTCTGAAACTGGCTTCAACCGTTTGGCGTGACCTACACCCCAAAATGTCAAAATAACGAGGTATTACAGGCCAAACGGCCCAATATTTTTTGTAGCCCACGTTTTTCTTGATTTTGTGATCAAATTATCTTACGATCCAAGTGGAAAGCAAATGGGTATGTACGAGTTTTTACTACCTAATTAAATAAACAAAGTTTGACAGACTCCAGATTAAAATCGTCCCAATTCCAAGAGTTTTGTAAATAAAATATTTGTAGGTTACTATGATATGAAGCTATTTACGAAGTTTTAGCCGGATAATAACCACAACGGGGAGAGGCTTTCGGGCTGAAGCCTCCTCCCCCCTCCCCCAAATGGTAAAATATTACCATGTTTTATGAAAAAATTATCCCTGAAAGTATTATTTTTCGTCTAATTACATTTAATAGAATTGTTTAAACACAATTTCATATAGGTAGTTAGTTTCTTTCTTTCTTCGGAAGTAATTATCCTGATTTATGCATACGAAAAAAAAATCTGTCAGGCTGAAGGCTCCCGCCAAAAATTAAGTCCTGGATCCGTTAGTGCATTACACCGACCAATTTTGAATGATGTTTTCAATTTTATTTGAAGTTTGCAATTGAAAACAGTGGCCTAATTATGTATTCATAGTTTCAAATTAATATGTTCTTGTCTTGATAACTATTAAAAAAAAATTTAAACCCATGTTTAATGTTAAATTTTATTAATCATTGAGATCATATCTTTAGTCTCAAATAAGTGTTAATACACGACAATAAACGGTAACTCTTACAACTTTTTTTTTTTCGTTAATAATAATATATTATATTATAATAATGCATGTATATGTATCTATTTAAACATTGTTTTAAATAATAGCCGTAATTTATTTATTTTTTTTTGGTGATTTTCTGGAGAGAATATATTTTAATAATAGATGAGAGATTTATTTTATTTTTCTTAGTAGTGAATATATTTTGTCATCATTCTTCCTTTATTTGAATTTTATGTACATAATTTATTTAATGTAATAGATCTTTTGGCTAAAAGCAATGCTTTTTTTGTATATATTTTTTATTTTAAACATATTTTTTCTTCCTTGTTATTCTTGAATTTGAATTTTTTTTTTAAAAAGCACTTTTTTTTTTTTTGTCGGTACGCCAATGATTCATCACTCATTTTGAAGATATTCTCATCCTTCACATGCGAAAAATAGTCCTATCATCCGGAAAATTATGGGAAAAAAGTTATGAAAAGTTAGCAAGATTACTAAATTAAGTACAAAATAAAAAAAAACGAACAATTATTAACAAAGATACAGTCTTAGTTTTGTATACTTTTAATTTTTTCCTCTTTAAAAATATTGCATTTACTATTCTACAACAATATTTTTCCTGGCTGATATATTAACTTTATTATTTCTTAAAGGCATTTGTTTGTTCTTACATTTAATCTTTTTTTAATTATTTAGAAAATCTCATGATCGAGACTTTATTTTGTCTTTATTATCTTTCCAGTCAGCGTTTAAAAATAGGTCCTATCAAAGCAAATTGTACAAATATTTTGGTATATTATGTTAAATGGAATATTGTAATCGATAAAGGAAAAATGTTAATTCCTTCCTCACATAGTACATATGATCTACTTATTTCCATATTGTTTTGCTATTTCTTCACTAAACCAAATTTTCTGGGAATCATTCGCATAGGCCAACATAGCATACATAAATCAAGAAAAAATAGAAATATAAAAACTAAATGGATAAATGAAAATAACTAAATAATATTACATAAAAAAAGTATTGCTTGTTTGTTATAGAAGGCTTAAAAATAAAAATTTTGCATACTTTTATTTATTTATTTTACTATTTATATATATGTAATCACATTTCAATGATAATAACTTTTTTTATCATTATAGCATGCTTTCCATTTTTCTTTGAGAATATAAAATGTGTAGGAGAATTATTTCTTGCTTACATGTGAATGTTTTTGTTGAAGATTTGTATTCTCGTTGCCGAATTCATAATAAAATTCAGATTTATATTTAACTCTCTGTAGCTTGTCCGTATTGCAATACGATCACTAAGTATGTTGTGCATACCGAAATCATCTGAAAGTGTTATATTTATGTATTTATAATTTTACAAATATATATTAAATAATTATGATAATATATAATTCAATTACTTACAGTGCCTATTAGTGTGTAGTCTATATCGAAAAATCCACAAGCGCTGAACTTAGTTTTCTTGTAGGCAATGAAGTGGAAAAACAACAATTCCTAAACATAAATTAATTTTTAAAAAATGTATTGAATTTAATAGCGGTTTGAGTATTGAGATATATAATTAATATATTAGCTTACGTTGTTGAAATACTGGCCTGTCTTGTCGTTTAATATTTTCCAATGTAGCTTTTCGTTAAACCTCTGTATCTAAAATAAGGAGTTGTAAATCAATGTATTTAATTAAATAAAAAAATATGACTATAGTAAAACTTACATAAAATACACATTTTCTATAAAAAAAATTGATTGAAAGAGATAAATAAAATATAGTGAGTTATATTGTTTTTTATAAATCCATCGTAAAAATAAATAGTTATACTATATAAAAACACCGACCGTGCCCTGGTACTAATCTAAGCTTACAGACTTATATGTGTTGTATCTATGTGAATAGATATATTTTTATGATAAATGTTTATGCAGATATACCTAAGGATTTTATATTTCAAATTTTAAAAACTTATCAAAGTTTAATCATAAAATATTTATTTATTAGTTACACATATTCCTGGCTCAATAAATTTGCCATCTACATCGGTATTCAGCAAATATGATATCAAGAAGAATGAACGATACCTTAAAAAAAAAAAAAGAATAGTAATAACAAGACTCAAAAAAAAAAGAAAGAAAAACATTAGAAAGAAAATAAAAATAAGATAACATAATAACACACAAAAAAAGATAATGCAGCAAGCAGCTCAATGCAATAAGTCTCTTGGCCAGCGCCTCAGCAGTCTTCTGGGCGGATTATATGGATTTGTGGCAGTAGATAGAGCTTGAGTAAGTGGATTGGAATTTAGAGTCAGTCTGTCATGAAAATTATTAAAGCGGTCAGTGGCAGTTGCCGTGATGAAAGGAGTGTTAAAGTCAGTGTGTAACGTGAGGTTTGAAACATAAAAGGGTGTGTATACAATTTTCCGAAAAACTTTTGACTGGAATGACTGGATGATTTTTATATTTGATTTCTTTGCTGTTCCCCATAGTTCGATCCCATATGTCCAAAGTGGTTTAATGAGGACTTTGTAAATAGTTAATTTATTAGTCACAGATAATTTAGAACGTCTGTCAAGTAGCCTAGAAAGAAGTCCGTATCGCTGATCAAGTTCTTTTCTTTTTTATTTTATGTGGTATATCCATGTCAGTCGTTTGTCCTGGAGACCCAAATATCATACAGTTTTTTAAGGTGGTACAGCGATATTATTAAAGAACACTGGAGGACAAGAGTCATGTCTAAGTGTAAATGACTATATTGGCTCTTAGACATTTTACATTTTAACACGATCACTGCCAAGCAACATTTTCAACGCCCATCCCGGAAATCAAACAGCTTCAAAGAATACGAAAATGCAACGAGTTTGATTGGCGTATACGAAATAACTCATGTTATCGTTGAGATTAATTTTTGCTTTTGATTTATTTTTCCTATATAGATGGCAATAATGGATGTTTCACTCAGAGCTCTAATGTCTGTTGCTCCATAATGTGTTAAAATGTAATATTTTTCAATAAAGAGTTAAATAATATATATTGAACATTTAATAGTTGACCGTTGCATTATAAAGGAAGGAGATGGTCCGGAGTGGCGGTCATATACAGGCTAAATAGTGGTAAAACTATTTTTATTAAAAGCCGACGTTTCGACCCAACTTTGCAGGTCATCTTCAGGGCTAGAACGGCTACAATTTTCTATCTTTTGTATCTAGTCCGTACTAGCCCTGAAGAAGAGCTGCAAAGTCGGGTCGAAACTTCGTATTTTAATAAAAATAGTTTTGTCACTATTTAACCTATTTATGACCGCCACCCCGGACCATCTCCTTCCTTAAAAAATATATAGAATATTTAGTGTCTATTTATTCCCTTTAAAAATAAATAATTTTAAAATTACCTCATTCATTAAACTGCTGCAGGAATAAACTATCATTCCCAACCTGACAGAGCATAGTAATATGAACATCAACAGGATAATATTTACTTTCAACATACCCGGGAAAGCTGGTAGTAAAATTAAATAAGAATAAAAAATCAATTGAGAAAAAGATATAACGACCGCGATGAATAGGAAAGGGCCGTAAATGTCTTTGATGGAATCTCCATATGTTGATATCCTTTCTAAGGCAGCGATGGAACCATCATCGTATTCTTTTGTTATCTTTCGGAACAAGAGGGTTAACAGACTCATGAGGTCCCATAGCTGGCTGGTGATGCTGAGTGTCGACATGGATAGAAGTAATGACAGAATCGAAAGGTTTATTACTTCCATCCTAAAACCATTATCTAAAAAAACTAGCCAAAATATTGTCAACAACGTGCCCAAAAAAAGGTTTATATAAAACGAATAAAATATTTTGTTGGGAAATTCTCGACATTCGGCGATTTCCTTGTTTATGCTGTTAAATAGATGAAATACCATTTCCCATTTTCTTGTCAAATGTAGGACAATATAAATATTACTAAAGAAAGAAAAACAAATTGTTATTATATTCAGAACCATTAAAACAACCATAGATCTAATTTGGTATGTTATTATCACATCATAGTAGTAATTAAAAAGTCCATTGATTATTAGAGGAATATGAAGTGACTGAATAAATACACAGTAGATAAGCCTTCTACATGACCATTTAAATGTGTCATCGAAAGGAAACAAACCCACTACTCGGGATAATTTGAACACATTGCTCAATCTGGCTACCATCTCTCTTCTGCAGAACTGGTTGGTTGGTCTGTGTGATGACCCTCACTAAGGAGTGAGTCGCAGGGTATTACAATCCACTAATGGATTATTTTCATTGCTGAAATCAATATGTTATGTTTCTATATTCTGAATACCCATAATGTTGTCGGTAGTCATGATGACGCTGTTATAAACAACACTCTAGTTTTGCCATCTTATTCTTCTCCGTTTATACTGTCATTCTTATCTTACGATCGCGTATAGACATTATTTTCTCAATGGTGAACTTTCACAAAAACTTTTTCTGTGTCTTTTCTTGACCTTAGACACAGCAGATAGTTGATTATTATATTAATAAACCCCCATACCAGACTGAAACGACTATAAACCGCCCGACGTTTCCGACTACTCCAGCACTTACTAGACAAAAACTCTAAACTTCCAACTATTTACAAAAGACTCATATATATTACTATAATAAGGAATATGTGGACTTACGGGATCGAGCTTTGGGGCTCTACTAAACCATCAAATTCCTCTCGTATCCAATCCTACAATCCAAAATCCTTCGTAAAATCCTTATTGCTCCCTACTTTGTCACAAATAAAATCATCCATAATGACCTTAATGTACCATATGTTTCCGATTTAGCTCAATCCAGATATCTGTCCTTTCATAAAAAACTTCTGAACCATCCGAACCCTCTCGTTTCCAAACTTGCTTTCTCTCCTATTCCTGATAACTCTCCGAGGCGTCTGAAAAGAAGATGGCCTCTCGGGACCTTCTAATATAGAAATATAACTGGAGTGCTACCAATTGGTAGTTTCTCTTCATGTTGTACATGTCATGGTACTTGTTCATATTTACTTGTTGTATTTATTATTAATTACAGTTGTAAATTTTCTTAATAAAAAAATATATTAATAAAATGCCATATTAAGATGAATATGCCGTCGAAAAAGATAGGCCTGACATATTGAATGCGTCGTACCCAACATCGAAAAGTTTTGTTTCAAGAATGAGGAATGGTTAAGAGTTGTTATTAGAAGACGGTATATCGTGTTTCCTTTTTAATTTGGCCCTGGGAAAATTTGTAGAAGGAGCTTGTATCCAAACAACAGAGACTATTTTTGACCGTCAGCTTTAGGATCTTGCATTCGGTAGCTACCTGGAGATATTGTTGGGCGCTCCTTGCAAGGTCTCAGTGATTCTTTTCTTGTCCCTGGAAGAAGCCGCGCAACGGTTTTGTCTAATAAGATAATTTTGAGCACAATGTGCCAAAGAAAGACATGCGGCAGAGAACCACGGTCTTGACAGACAATCCATTTTCCATTCCGGCTCCACATCTGTTAAACAAACCTCTGACTAACAGGACCTAGATTTCTGTGTACAAGGTACTGATAGTACCAATCCTAACAAAGACGGTCCAAAAATATTCGAAAGAAAAGTGCTACGTAAAATATTTGGTCTGTACATTGGAGCAGTGTTTCACTTCAGTGATTAGAATAAGAAGGGTAATGTAGGAGGGCCGCATTGCTCAGTTGAATGCAAACTTTATTCCCACGAAGATTCTGACCGAACCTCTCCATGTCCAACATAGAAGATGAAGTTTAACTATGCGATGGAACTGTTAGGACTTGGGATCAGATGCTATAAGGCAACATCAATCAACAGATACTCCTGGCACTTCTTGTAGGAGGAGGACTGGACTCCGCATCGGATTGTAGTGTCTTGTTGGCGCCTCCTGTAGGGGTACGCTGAGAATGTACTTTTCCATAGGAGAAGGATCGCGAAGAAGCGGTCTTGGATTCTCCAAGAAGATTCTGACCGAACCTCTCCATGTCCAACATAAAAGAGGAAGTTTAACTATGCGATGGAATTGTTAGGACTTGGGATCAGATGCTATAAGGCAACATCAAAAAACAGATAGAGCTCTGCAAAGGAGCAGTGTATCAATTCAATGATTAGAATAAGAAGACTAAAGAAGAAGGAGAGACGCATTTCTTAGTTGAGTGTAAGCTTAATTCGCTGGAATATTCTGAGGATCCCCTCCATGCTATAAAGAAACGTTAATAAACAGATAATTCTGGCGTTTCTTGTAGGAGGAGCATTGGACTCGGCATCGCTTACTAGTCTCATGTTGACGCCTCCGAAAGGGGTATCCTGAGAAAGTAATTTTCTACCGGAGAAGTAGGATCGCGGCTATAAACCTGGATCCTCCCAGAGTACTGGATCTCACCGATTCTGTTGGTTTCTGAGTAAATCTTTTTAAAAATATTCTTCACATCGGTATCCTATCTCTAAGCTATGGAGTACTGGAGGATGGGTGAAGAAATATGAGAAAATAGGCGTAGAGTAAGAGGAAAAAACCAATGCCATTTACTATTTGCTGATGACCAGGTATTAATTGCACATAAGATGAAGAAAATATAAGCCAACTATTCAGAAAAATAATAGATCATCATGAGCAAGGCGGCATTCAAATAAATGACAACAAAATTAAATATTCGTGCACGGAGAAAGAAGAGAGCACCAACAATATGCAACTTAAGCAAAGTGGAACGATTTGGTTATTTGGGGTCCATAATTGAATGTAGTGATAGAACAGAGGAAGAAATCCAAAAGACAAATCAGTTGTGAAAAAGCAGTGGGAATGCTCCTTAACAGCAATATTGTAATAAAAAAAAAATAAACAAAACTTTGGTAGAAAGCTTAATGTTGTGCGGTTTGGAAACATGGCCTTTCAGTATGACCCAGGGCAAAAAATTCTTTTAGTTGAAATGGATTATTGGAGGAGAGCAGCTAGGACATCGAGGATCGAAAGAGTATGAAACACCGCTATAATGGAGAGACTGAAAATAAAAGAAAATATCTTAGATGTGGTAAAAGAAAGAAGATTGAGATGGTACGACCATATGAGACGAATGGGTGACGATAGAATACAAAAAATAATTATGGATTAAGAGGCAGGTAGTAAAAGAAAGAGCTCAAAACCCCCCGTTTGATGGAAGGGTAGAGGTGTGGAGAGTATGGCTGCTAGAGAGGACTATTGGAAGAGGATGCGATGGACCGGCAGAGATGGAGAGACTTGCTGAAGCAAGAGTTTGGTTGAGGAAAACTTCATATTAAAAATAATCCTAACGAAACAAAAAAGGTTATTCAAAAAGAGTGAGTTCAAAAAAAGCTTTCACCACCATGATGAATAAAAAAGGCCTATAAATTTCGTTGATATACTCCCGATAAGTTAACATTCTTTCTAAGGCTCTGATGGAACCTTCATCGTATCCTTTCGTGGTCTCTCGTAACAAGATGGTCAGCACCCGCATCAGGTCCCACAGCTGACTGGTGATACTGATTGTGGAATTAGAGACAAGTAATGTCATCACCGCATTGTATAAATCACTTTGGGTAAATCCATCTTTTATGAAAACACTCAAGAGTATTGTCGCTAGGAAACATATCAAATAACAAATACTTGTATAAAAACGTATTTTAGGAAAGTTTTGGCATTCGTCGATTTCCTTGCTCATTCCATCAAGTAGGGAATAGACCCTGTCCCTTTTTCTCGTCAGTTGAATTACGACTAAGACGTTACTGAAAAAAGCAACGAGATTAATTGACCAGTAAATTGCTATTGTAACAATGACGGCCTTATTGTAAATGTAGGTAGAATTTTCATAATAATCGTGAAACCTTTCAATCATCAAAGAAAGTGTGAGTACTTGGATAAATACGCAGTAAATCATCAATATTTTAGACCATTGGAATCTGTCATCGAATGGAAACAATCCCACAATACGATGAAATGTTAATGCTCGTATCAACTTGGTTCTCATCTCCGATCTATCTCACAACAGGATCTGTCTGAAGGCAAGACTACACTAAGGAGGGAAGCCTTGGACAGTACAATCAATTATCAAGTTATTTTGATTTCAGAAATGAATATTGGTTTATTTTCCTAAATTATTCCTAATGCAGTTGGTAACCATGGCCACTATGCCTCACAAACATTCGAGTTTCATTCTCATAATATTGTTTCTTCTATATTATTATCTCTTCTAATGTAATGCTAAAGGCGCCCCTTATGCGGCCGAGTCCATAAAATACTGGAGTGGGAAAGCTCAGTTTGTAAGGTATAGTAGTTTAAATCTGGTTATCGCTGATATTTTTGAAGGGAAGAATTGTCGAGCAGACTAACCTATGTTCGAAATGCGCGACATCCTGATAAACCTAAAGTTCAAATCCCGGTTTCTGTACTTAATACGTAACTCTCGCATGAATCCTTCGACCTCTCTCCTATTCCCCCTATAGCGTCCTAAAATGGTCCCTCTCCCTCTTATCCAATCAATCTCAGACAGTTACAATTCCGAACAAACCTCCGTCATCACCCCTTCAATTAACACGAGGTGTTCCTCAGGATTCCTCACTCTCCCCGACCCTTTTTTCTATCTATATTAGTGACCTTCCTAACGCCATTCAACGCTCCAGTTACCACCTATATGCCGATGATTTCCAAATTTACCAATCATTCCAACCTTCTGAGATGCCTGAGGCTGCCCGAAGGCTACAAGAGGACATCGACTGCATCACAGATGGACTATAAATGAATTAAAGCTGAATGCAGATAAAACCAAAGATATTATCATCGGGTCCAGACATCTCATTAGCTCCCTTTCTTACTTTCCTCTACTTAACCTCAATAACCGTCCCATCCATTTTTCCCTACAGTCAAAAACCTAGGAGTAACCTTTGACCAGAACCTCTCCTGGAATAATCATATCTCCCAGATTACCCGAAAATCCATAACTGTCCTTAAACAACTCCTAAGATTCCGTGATTTTATTCCTCTAAAAACCAGACAGCGTGATTGTATTCCTATAAAAACCAGACAGCTCCTTGTATTCCCCCACTTAGACTACGGCTGTTTGGTGTATGGGGGGCTAGCTGCCAGGCTGGAAATGAGACTCATGAATTGTTTCATAACATACATTTTTTGGTTCTCCAGGCATTCACATGTTTCACTCTGGTACGCCGAGTTGAAGTGGCTTTATCCTACTTCCCGACGACAATTCCTCCTTGGTGTTTTCCTTTTCCAAGTCTTCAGAACTAAAAACCCTCCCTAAATCCTGGAACTCCTTACTCTACGCTCCTCTATTCTCTCAATTCTAGGTCTCAACCTATAGACTTATATATTCCCTTCCATAAAACCTCCTCCTTCAGCAAATCCTTCGTCATTCGTACTGCTTCCTTATGGAACTCACTTCCTACTTCCATGCTCAATCCTCGTCCACAAATTCCTTCAAACAACTCTGATTCCAACACCTACTCCACATTCAAACTTCCCCTAACATGTAAATTTACTTGCATCTGTACAATGTTTAATTTCAATCTATTGCACAATTGAAATAACAATTAACAGTAAATTTGTTTGTATTTTTATTATCATGTCAGACTAAGACCCATATATTTGTAACTCTGTTATTATTCTTAGGGAACAGTAGTCCCAGAATAAAATTATTTTTTCATTTCATTCTGGAAAAATCTCCGTATAGCCGAGGAAGGATAAGAAAAAAAATCTAAGTAGGGTGACGTTAAACATTCTTCTAATTCTTACCCCAAGGTAGGTGACAACCTTATGCTATAAAGTAATAATTTATCAGTAATATCATGATGATCACAGATAATGTTGTTAATTATAAAGCATGATAAACACAAAACAGCCTTTCAGAAAAGAAATTCAATTAATTAAGCTTGAACCAATCAGTATATTGTAGATTCAAATTTGTGTAACTAATATTTTATTGTTGATTCTTATTAAATAATTCTAGATAATTATCATCAATAATTATCCAGTGGAATCACATCAATTTCACATCCCAAAAAATAACATTTCAATATCTGATGACATTAAGAGTAATAGGATCGGCCTTGTCAGTAATACCGTCAAAGAACGGATTGAGTCTTGGCAACCATCCTCAAGTTCTATCTCTCGAGCCATTCTCCTACTAGGCGTGCGCACCGTTCAGCTTTATCTTTTAATCTGTCGTGGTGCGAAACCGTTCCCACGGGAGCCTAATTTTTTTCTTAGACTATGAACAATGGTTACTAACATACCTCACTTTGTTGTGAATGACGAATGCCCAACAAATACTGAAGAAATTACTGTTTGTAAAACTAGATCGGTCGAAAGGCTCAGCAAGAACAAGGCTAAGATAGGAAGGCGCTGTCACCAGGGATACAACAGTTTAGATTAGTGATATAAAATAAAATAGAAGAATAGTTAATAGCAATTATATGTGTTAGTATTTGTAATGTATATCAATGATTTTAAAAAATATTTTAATATTACTTCATCTTGAAGGTTACTGCTGGAAAAACACAATAACAGAATAATATTTCATTTCAACTTAAAGATGGTGGCATCATACTATTTCTTTGTTTATGCTATCAAGTAAGTGGAAGAACATTTCTCGTTTTCAGATGAAAAACATTGAAAAAATTGGTTATAAATGTTAAAAGTGCTTTGTTCCTGGCCTCACGTTTCTACGGCGGGTAAGGGGTTCCAGGAACCGCATTTATTTGTATTTATATCGGTTTATATCGGTCCCAGAAGGGAACCGATCAACTTAAAATATATTAATGATGTATTTAAATGTTAGATACAGACCCCCTACTGTAGTATCCTAGATTGAACCATATACTCTTTATTGGATTTCCTTTCTAAAGGTATCATGTTTATAAATTTACTATTTGTTTCTATTACTAATTGGTGGCATGCAAGGTAGAATGTAAAAGTACTACGTTGGTTTACTAACTATTATATTTACAAGCTTAAATAAAACCAAAAACATCTATATACAAAATAATAACTAAACCTATATACATAATGAATAGTTAAGAATCATACTAGAGGAGAATGCTTGATTAGAGTTACTTATGTTCTATTGATTTTATTACTTAATGATTGATGGTTGCCAACACAAATTTACATTAGTATAACTAAATGCTTGTTACCACTTAGCTGGTCCTTCATAGTATTTCTAGCCGTCATATCTGGATTCCCTGTCTCTGCTCTCCTTCAGCGTCTAGTCCGTCCATCTGCTCTCCCCGGCTGTCTTCGTCTTCCTCCCTCGACTCCCGCTTGAAGTCCCAAGCTCAAGTCCTCTCCTCTCCGAGTCCCAAGAACAAGTGTCCCGTCCGAATTCTCGATTTCCCACCTTTTTTCATCCCCCTCTCTTTTGGCAGTCTTTTTCCTGATTGGCTGAATATTCTCAGCCTAAGGGATGACCACGCCCTCTCCCCCAGGCCAAGGTAAAGCAGCAGGTACAGACTTAGGTATTTCTGGTGGAAGGTGTGAAAAGGTCTTTTGGGATCCTTTTTAAACACTTAGTTGTCGGTCTTTGTCGGTGGTCCTTAAGGGTTTTTATTACCACTTACAAAAGGTTGTCCTAATGGGTTACCCTCAGTCAGGTATCGCCAGATGTGGCCACTTATTTTTATTTATACATTTAAAATAATTATTCCACCGGCGGTCTTTACAATACATAGCAAAAGATATGTTATGCAATTATTGACCATTAAACGTTGGAAGCCACCTAGAAGCTATTACATGACGGTTTTTTAGTAGTCGTCCATAGTGATTTGTCAGTAGTTGTAAGATTTTCAGTTAGGTTAAGTAATTTTTTAGTTTTGAATTTACTGATTTCTCCTTTTAGTTTGTTAGTCAATTTGTTATAGTGAGTTTTATCTGTTGAATATCTGGTTCTATGCTACTCCGATCTTTCTCTGCGTTTTTCCCTTAATAAAGCTGCGTAAGATTTGTTATTGGTGCCCCGAGGTACTCCCATGTCTCTCACCATTACACTGAGTTAAGGTGGCTCTTCCCCTCCTTTCGAAAACAATATTTCCTAGGTACGTTCCTTTATCAAATCATCAACAACCATCGTCCTTCTTACTACTACAACCTTCTCCAATTTTTTGATCAATGTCTTGTATTGTCTTAAGCGAAATTTTTAAGTTCAGTTTGTTTTCCAAATCATCACGATAATTGTCCCAGTTTACTCATGTAGGAAGGGAGGAAGGCTTAGGAGCAAAGGTTGAGTGTAATGAAAGCAGAACTGGACTATTATCTGCAGAAAGGCCATCCAGGGATTTGATTGTGACATGGGAAGAGGAAAACTGGGAGGTGACAAATATGTCCAGGATATCGAGGATTGTTTTGAGGTATGTCGGCCAATATGCAGGATTCGCGGGCGAGAGGATAGAATAACTATTGGAAGATGAGACACGAGATAGGATTTATTTTTCCTATATAGATGGCAATAATGGATGTTTCACTCAGAGTTCTAATGACTGTTGCTCATAAATGTGGCGAAATGTATTATTTTTCAATAACAAGTTGAATAATATATAGAATATTTGGTGTCTATGTTCTCTTTAAAAATAAATAGTTTTAAAATTACCTGATTCGTTAAACTGCTGCAGGAATAAACAATCATTCCCAATCTGATGAAGCACAATAGTACGAACACCAACATTATAATATTTATTATCAACTTTCCCGGGAAGGCTGGCAATAGAATTAGATAGGAATAAAAAATCAATTGAGAAAAAGATATTACGACAACGATGAATAGGAAAGGGCCATAAATGTCTTTGATGGAATCTCCATATGTTGATATCCTTTCTAAGGCAGCGATGGAACCATCATCGTATTCTTTTGTTGTCTTTCGGAACAAGAGGGTTAACAGACTCATGAGGTCCCATAGCTGGCTGGTGATGCTGAGGGTCGACATGGATAGAAGAAATGACAAAATCGAAAGGTTTAATATTTCCTGGCTCAAACCATTATCTAAAAAAACTAGCCAAAATATTGTCAACAACGTGTCCAAAAAAAGGTTTATATAAAACGAAAAAAATATTTTGTTGGGAAATTCTCGACATTCGGCGATTTCCTTGTTTATGCTGTTAAATAGATGAAACACCATTTCCCATTTTCTTGTCAAATGTAGGAGAATGTAAATATTACTAAAGAAAGAAAAACAAATTGTTATTATATTCAGAACCATTAAAACAACCATAGATCTAATTTGGTATGTTATTATCATATCATAGTAGTAATTAAAAAGCCCATTGATTATTAGAGGAATATGAAGTGACTGAATAAATATACAGTAGATAAGCCTTTTCCGTGACCATTGAAATCTGTCATCGAAAGGAAACAAACCCACTACTCGGGATAATTTGAACACATTGCTCAATCTGGCTTCCATCTCTCTTCTGCGGAACTAGTTGGTTGATCTGTGTGATGACCCTCACTAAGGAGTGAGTCGCAGAATATTACAATCCACTAATGGATTACTTTCATTGGTAAAATCAATATAGAAACATTCAGAATACCCATAATGTTGTCGGTAGTCATGATGACGCTGTTCTAAACAACACTTGCCATCTTATTCTTCTACGTTTATACTGTCATTCTTATCTTATGGTTGCGTGTAGATATTATTTTCACAATAGTGAACTTGCACAAAAACTAGATCTGCGTCTTTTCTTGATCTTAAACACAGCGAAGCGGTAGTTAGAAAGAAACATCGACGATTACTTATTAATATCATACTTCCTAATGTTCATGTCACCTAGGAGACAAAGACCATATTATAAATATAAAATGCAAGTCCAGATTAAAACGAATATGACGTCGAAACAGATACGCCTAATCAACTTAATGACTTAAGTATAGACATCAGAAAGTTTTGTTTCAAGAATGAGGAATGGTAAGGATAGTTAGGAAGTTATTAGGAGACACTTTGACACATGTCTCCTTTTGGTTCATTATTTTCAATAATGAACAATTGTGATCGAACAAAAATTCAAAAACTTAAACTCCTCTCAATTCGAGGTTTTACGTTTCAGGATACGTAGAATTCGAAAAACGAATAAAACTTTTTTCGTCCGTTCGCCATCCGCCCATTTTCTCCTATACTACTGGACCGTTTTTTTTTCCAAAATTTGTATTAAAATTAGAGGTCGCACGAGGATGATCCTTCTTCATCGACATTTCGATCCGGCTTTTCCTTTCAAGATGGCAACAGAAAAACCTGCGTTTCTATAGAGTGTAGCGCGTAAACGAATGTACCGATTTCAATGAAACTTCGCCAAAGTTCTTCTCGATGGCCTTTAAATTTATCCATAAAACATACTTCAACGAAAAGAAACTGGAAATAAAGTTACGGCAGATGGTAAAATTAGATTCCTAAAAACTCAAAAATTATACACTTATTCCTATTTTAGGAAGAGGCATGGCGGTTATCAAATGGTAAGGAATTCCAGAAGGCAGTGGATCGCGCAATAAAGGAATATTCAAACGTCTTAGCGCTCTGGGAAGGGATATAGGTCGGAAATACGGGATCTTGTTTTCTGGGAGTGGACCATGGGTTTAAAGTGTATGAGACTGTAGATGTAGGAAGGCTGTCGAGTGTTGATTGTTTGGAATAGAAAAGATCCAAGGAAATATTGTCTGCAGAAAAAAGGGAAGAGTCACTTTAACTCGTCGTAAAGGTGGGACACATGAGACCTCGATGTACCGAAGACAAATCTTAAGCACATATTCATGAGTCTCTTCAATCTATCCTCAAATACCATCGGGATGCCTCCGTACACCACACAGCCGTAATCAAAGTGAGGGAAAATGAGAGAGGATACAAGGAGCTTGCGGATGGGTTGTGGGAGTAGGTGGCGGGAGCGATGAAATAGCTTAAGTGTTTTTTTATTTTCAATAATTTATAAAATGTGTTATCTAAAAAAGCTCTAAAAAATAAATAAATAAAAGTAAGTAAATATATTTTTAATATTACCTGGTCCATAAACCTATTGCAGGTATAAATAATAGTTCCCAACTTAGCGAAGCATGTGAATATGAACAATGACAGCATGACATTTGCTTTCAACATGCCAGGGAAGCCTGGTAAAAGTAATAAATATGAAAAGAAAACAAATTCAAAAAAAGGTTTCACAACCATGATCATTAAAAGAGGCCCATAAATTTCGTTGATTAATTCTCCATAAGTTAATATTCTTTCTAATGCTCTGATGGAACCTTCATCGTATTCTTTGGTGGTCTCTCGGAGCAAGATGGTCAGCAACCGCATCAGGTACCACAGCTGGCTTGAGATGCTTATTGTAGAATTAGTTTCAAGTAATGCCATCGCCGCGGTATGTAAATCTTTCCAAGTAAATGTATTTTTCATGAAAGCAATCAAGAGTATTATCGCTAGGAAACATAACAAATAAAAAATACTTGTATTAAAACGTATTTTAGGAAAGTCCCGACATTCGTCAATTTCCTTGCTCATTCCATCAAGTAGGGAACATACCCTGTCCCGTTTTCTGGTCAGTTGAATAACGGCGAAGACGTTACTGAAGAAAGCCACGAGATTAATTACACAGTCGATTGCTATTATAACATTGAAAGCCCTATCTTCAATGTAGACAGGATTTTCGTAATAATCGAGAAACTTAAAAATCATAGAAGGGAATGTGAGTAATTGGATAAATACGCAGTACGCCATTAATTTTTTGGACCATTGGAATCTACGATCGAATGGAAACAATCCCACAATACGATGGATTTTAAATGCGCTGATCAATTGTGTTCCCATCTCTGGTGTATTGCGCTATAGAATCTGCCTGAAGAACAACTCTAAGGAGAAAGGTCTTTGACAGTCCAATCAATTATCAAGTTATTTTGTTTTGTAAAATCAATATCGCTGTGTTATCCTAAATTACCTCTAATACTGTTAGTATCTATGGCCACTGTGTCCACAAAACATTCGATTTTCTTTGTCAATTCATTCTTTATTTTCTATTAATATCTCTTATGTAGGTGCGATATATTCTGACTTCATGTAGAGGACGCGTATCTCAGGGTATCCAAGGTCACTTTTTATACATTATTAGTGGGTTCCCATGCGACCGAGTCCTTTAAAGGCTGGATTGGGGTAGATACTCAGTGTGGTACCTTACTCAACTAGTAAGGTACTATGCTCCTATTTTCAAATATTACATATATTTTTAGGGGATAAATGGCGAAATATACCCATGTGCAAATCGCACGTTGCTGGGCAACCTGATAAACCGAAAGATTACAAGTGTCCAAGGGGCTTTTAACTCTCGCATTAATTCCCCCCACTACTCCTCTTGCCTGGGACTACCCTACTTCTCATGTAATCTGCATAAAGATATTATCTACATCAATCTATCCTACAGTGTCAATACCATTTGTATGGCGATGACGTCCCGATTTCCCTCTACTTCAATCCCAAATTACAGGAAGATATAGACGGAATTTGTGCCTGGGCAAACCACAATAGAACCACTCTAAACTCCGAGAAGAAGAAAGCCATCCTGATCGGAACTCCCTCACTCCTCAAATCCTTACCGGCACTTCCCAATCTTTTCCTGAACAACTCACCTATCTCATTCCATACTTTCGTAAAAAACCTTGGTGTTACCTTTGATCAAACCCTTTCCTGACCACACATCTCCCAAATTTCTCGTCGTACTATCTCTACCCTGAAACAGTTTAACCGTCTCCGCTATCTCCATTTAAATCCCGAGACAACTCCTGGTTTCCTCCCTTATGTCCACTAGTGTTGCCCAAATACGAGACCGAGACGAGTCTTGGTCTTGCAAACTCAGTTTGGTCATGGTCTTGGTCTTGCGCAAGAGTCTCGCAACAGTCTTACAGTACTGTATTTCGTAGATAGGAGAAACCTAACTAAGCCTGAATGAAAAAATAGAGGAGCGAAATACAAAAGTATATTGGTTATACCAATTATTAATATATAGTAACTCAGATTGTCGAGTACTAGTAACTATTTTGCCTTAATTTTTATTAAAAACATCGATTTATTTTGCCAGTCCTGGTCTTGGTCTTGCAACAGTTAGGCAGCCTTGGTATTGGTCTTGCAAATTGCAAGACCAAGACCGATTTTGGGCAACACTAGTGTCCACCCACTTCGACTATGTCTGTCTGGGGTACGGCGGACTCTCGGGAGAATTACAGGCCAAACTTAAACGCCTGATGAACTGCGCAATACGTTTTGTTTTCGGAATCAAGTTGAAGTGGCTCTATCCATCCAACCGCCGTCTGTACTTCCTTGCTACCTTTCTATACCAAGTCATCAGAACTTAGCGACCTTGCTATGTTTTTAAATATTCCATTCAATCCCGTCCCACTAGATCCTGTACTTCTGACCTCTATCCACCTCCTCACCGAACTGCTGCGTTTGACAAATACTTTATAATTCAAGTCGTCTCCATCTGGAATACCATCCCTTCCGATATCCGACATGCGCAATCAGTTTTCTCATTTAAATATCTCCTTTTTAAGCACCTACTTCTTTCCCAACTCGAATTATCATGAAGAGTAGATAAGAGAACTTTTTTAAGTTTCACCAGAAATGATTGTTTTTAATTATGTTATTTTATTTTCACATGTTTGTATCTATAATTTGTCCTAAAGGGACAAAAGTCCCAGAATAATAATCTATTTAAAAAAAAAAAAGATGAACATCCTTCGAATCCTCTCCCAGGTTTGATGACAACCTCACTCGGGCTTATCATTTCTCCCGCCATTACATTAGTGGTAATAGAGTGGAACCTCTCAGTCTTACCTCTCAAAAGAAAGGACTGAGTCTTGGTAACCGCCTTCCTCAACTCCTTCCTCTCGCACCTTCCTCTTACTAGATTTCTTGCCTCCATCTTAAAATCTGCTATGCGGGGCAACTACAAT